AGGAAGAGCAGTGCGCTCTTGATCTTTTGTGTGCGAGTATCTGTTCTTATCAGTGTGACAACAGTGAGCCCGATAACAGCTACCGTGCAGCACCCGCTGCAGGTTCCTATATTAGTCTTGCGGTGGGCAAAGAACGTCCTGCCGTGTCTGGGGTCCGTTTGCACGCTGCTGGTATGCGAATTCCCGTGAAGTTCACATTGTCAAGTGGTGTCAATCTGCAAGTAGTCAAACCCGGCCTTTTGGTTGCGTAGTGACAACACTAGAGCAGCTTCGGTACCATTTGGGAAAGATGCACTACCTGAAAGCCACCTGTGGAATTGAACAGCTGTGTGCCACACTGAATGCGACGAAAAGCTGGAGCCCTGTACGCCTGACTCTAAACCCTTTACCTTAGGTTAAGCCAAACAGCCCTAAACCCTAAACCCTTCACCTTAACCCTAAAACCCCTAAACCTCAAAGCCCAAAACCCCAGACCTGAGCCAGGCAAAGCTCGAAGACCCAGAAGCACTTACCAGGCATTGTAGGGGTGACTTTCTTACTGTTCCAGCATCTTCGGACACTCAAACCCTAAACTCTTAACCCTAAGCTCTAACCCTAAACTCTGGAGCCTGAGTCTCGTTCTTGAAAGCTCTGATAGCCCAACGGATTTATTTGAAGTCGAATAGATCGCCCAACACTTCCTGCTCGCATGCCGGAAGTCTTTATCCTGTCCTAAACACTCTAAACGTAAAATCCTGAATCGAAGCTGTTTGCTGTACCGTATAACCCCAACTCTTCCATCGCGACTAAATGCCCTGAACCTGCCATCCTAAATCGCAAGGACGGTGGCTTCATGATTCTCTTGAGCTGGCTTTTGCTACAGCCACCTGGCATCTTCAAGTTGTGGGTTTACTGGGTTAGGCTTTGGGGTTTAGGGTTTAGGGTTTGGGGCTTTGGGTTTGGGGTTTAGGGTGTAGGTTTAGGGTTTAGGCTTTAGGGTTTAATTGTTTAATGTAGGGGGAAACCCTCAAAATAGTATTGGTAATTACTTAGGCCCCTATATTAGGCTTTGGGGTTCAGGGTTTCAGATTTGGTGCTTGGGGTTTGGGGTTCGTAGTTGAGGCTTTGGATTCAGGGTTCGGGGTTTAAACCTCTATACACCCTGAACCCGGCCGTTTGGGGTTCAAGATTTTTGGGTTTCGCCGGCTTTAGGGCCAGGGGACTCCCGGGTCAGTTTGGACTTCCTCCCTTAACGTCGTACCGATCGTGCTTTTACAGGAGAATCTCTTTTTAAAACCTATCCTATTGTGATGATAAGGCCCGTATATTCATTACGGACCTTAGAAGACTCTTGCCTGCGGTAATCGCTGTAAATGAACGGGTTTAGGGATGACTGTGATGAGGGATCGATCCGAAACCCTAAACCCTAAACCCTAAACCCTAATCCTCACGACCAACTCCTGCCTGTCATGATCAAGGCACCGCATTTGGCGGCAGTGCCACATTCGAATCTTCACCATTACCGAGGCCTGGCCTGATCATAGTTGCGACAGAGACACGACAAGATGGGTAGTTCTCTAAATGAGGGTCCCTCTTTTAGGTCCCCCAATATAGTACGGCAGCCTTATAAAAAAGGCACTAAAGTTTAGAGAACTACCCAGATGACAGCTAGCAATCCTGAAGCATTCAGGTCAAGCATAGTTTCGGGGCAAGCTCAATCCTAAATATTGAGCGCGACAGGCTCCGTGTTTGCAAGTATTCCTGGCATTCGATAGATAGGAGGCCCCGAACATTCAGGCTTTCTGGCTGGGAAGACAAGGTTTCTGGATTCTGTGTGTGTGTGGTGTCTGCAACGTCTGTTGGCACACGGTTCTGCTTAGGGGTGGGATTATTTCGGAGTGTTGTCATCCAGACCCCGGGGTCTGAAGAGGTCGTTCTTTGAAGAGAATCGGATATGGGTTTAGGGCTTAAGGGCTTTGGGTTTAGGGCTTATGAACTAGGTAAGCCTCTAGGACATTTTGTACTTAATTGGGCTTCCGGGGATCTTGTCCACGAGCAGTTTCAACTGCCTCTAAAGGGCCAACCTGGTGAATCTTGACCTCGCACCTGGGGTTGATGATTGCTTCACATAGGGGCCTCAACAATCACCTATACGATTTTTGGGGCTCCTTATTTTCATTATATAGTATACCCCAAATCCCTATTCTAATTATTAAGGCCCGTATATTAAGCTCCTGCTTTGGGTTTTATCGTTCAGGAGCTCCTTGCCGTGGAAGGGCTGAATCTAAGCTAGGAACGGAGATCGCGAGGCAAACTGGACCGACTGAGGATTTGAGGTTTACCCAGAGACTCCAATATCCCTTAATTAAGGAATATTCCTTAAAATATAGTAGGATCCTTAATATGATTTAAGGTATATTCCCTAATTAAGGGATATTGGAGTCTCTGGGTAGGTTTAGGATTGCGTGTAGTGAGTGTGGCACTAAGGGAATCAGCTTCCGAAGCTCTGCCCATGCCAGGCAGTTTCGGGTTTAGAGCCCTAAACGGTGTAGGGTTTAGGGTTTAGGGTTTCTAAACCCTAAACCCTTAGGGTTTAGGGTGTACGGTGCCCCAGTGTTTTTGCGAAGAAGGCCCCGACAGCTTTAGCTGAATGGCCAGGCGAGTCTGAACCATACATCCGCGATGAGCATACCCTGCCCAAACCCTAATCCCTAAACCCTAAACGCACAAATCGAGAAGTGTACCAAGTTTAAAAAAGCCCTAAACCCTAGGGCTTGGGAGTTTAGGGCTCCTTTAAGGCCTCCTAGAAGGGATGTAGAGCCTGCGGTTTAGGGGTTTAACCAACTTAAAATCTGTGGTATGCAATTTGAAAGACTCCTAAATCCTTTTCAGATGCACTACCCTGCACCGCATAGACCACGAAACGCCTACCCTCGTCCTTTGGGCCAAGTCACAGTCGCCGCCAGGGTGTGTCTGAAGAGCGTGCTAAGAATGCGGCTGAGCTCTTGACGCGCACACTGCGACAGCGCAGGCGGCATGGCCCTTGGGGCCATAGTCATTGGAGTAGATCATACTACAGTACATCATAGTTATATATATATATAGATCTATCTATCTACATACATAAATAAGTATATATATATATATACACATGTGTATATATATATATATAAGCGCATATTTACATATATCTATCAATATATACACATGCATATCATTCAGTCTTCTACAAAATACCATCCAATGCGACCCGTCCCGCACCTCAAACCCTGGTCAAAGAAGTTAGAAGTGAGGCCCTAGATCCCTAGAGTTCCCCTGGCATCCCTCCAACTTTGGGTTAAGGGCTTAATATTGGGCCTTCACAATCAGACCAGGGCTTTGAGGATACGCTCGATGGCATAGATCCTGCATTACCTTCAGGACCTTAAACTATGGGAAGTATGGTATATTCCTTGTTATGGGTAATGCAGGGTTTGTATCATCAACCGTATTATGCCATACCCTTTAATCGGGAACCCAAAGGAATATTCTTGGTAATTATTCCGGCTTCTACAGGATGTTCCTTGGCCCTAAACCCTAGTGTCTCGAGGCCCGCAGGGCTCAGCGGTGTCCAGCGGTGCAAGTTGTTTTGGTTTGTTTTTTGGGTTTAGGGCCTGGGAAAGGTACAGGTAACTAGGTCCAGAATGGGGATGATGGTGATAATGAAAGATGGTGTTGAGGGCAAAGTCACGATTGTTGCAATCACATTCACAACACTAGACTTTTGATAAGCACAAAAAGAACGACAATAGCAAGATAAATATAATATCAGTGATCAATACCACTGTCAAACGATCACGGTAACCAGGCCCGGACTATGACTAAAACTCAGCAGTCATGGTCCCTGAGTATCACAGAAGCAATCTTGAGTGGGAGCCCTGAGCCCGAAACTCTCATAAATCATGCAGCCGAACACTGCGAATCCTAGGCTCTAAATCCGAAAAACCCCCGAGCCTGAAACCCTAAACCCTAAGCCCTAAAGAAAAAGAAACCTTCAAGCCTCAAGCCCTAAACCCTAAGCCCTAAAAAATGAAACTTTCGAGCCTGAAGCCCTAAGCCCTAAACCCTAACAGAAATAAGAAACTCTAACGCCTAGAACCTTAGAAGCTTCATAAAGTCTAAAGGAGATGGGGCTGGGCTTGTTCAAGTGGCATCATACGGAGAGAAGCATCTTCGGTGCTGCAGCATGCACCTACTATAGGAACCTTACTAATGACCTATACTATTGATTGCGGGGGTTCCTTATTATAAGTATAGTATAATGTACCAACAGCCCTATTCTAATTACTAAGTCCCCTACATTACTGCCTATGTGAAGCTACTCAGAAAAGAAGCAGGCAATAGGCGAAGTAAGTGAAGGAGATTCAGATGAAGGGTGGGAAGCACTACCCATTCTGTGACCACCCATATGGTTTCCAAAAGCGAAAACTGAAAAGGCTTGAGCTGTGCGATTTAGGCATCAACACCTGGACCAGAATCCACCGCCACATGTCGCAGGCTCTTCGAAGTGGATGTTGAGGTGGTCATCGTCGATGATGCCGCTGGTCTGGCCAAAAGAGGTTGGTAGTTTGGGGTCGTAAACATCAGTAGGCGAGCACCAAGCCCTATGCCGCCAACCCTGACTGCAAGTCCAGCTCAGTGAATGTTGGATGCTCAAAACATGACTGTTGCTACCACTGATACTACTATTGCTACTACTGCTACTGCTACTACTACTACTATTACTGCTACTACTACTACTACTACTACTACTACTACTCCCGTGTCTGCTACTGCTGCTGCTGCTACTACAACTACTACTACTACTACTAATAATAATAATAATACAAATACTACCACTACTGCTACTGCTACTACTACTACTACTACTACTACGACTACGACTACGACTACGACTACGACTACGACTAC